CACACACCATACCCATCACCACCTATACACACAATACCCATCACCATCAATACACACGCTCCCGGGTCTCAACCATACCCTCCCATACCCTCCTGTCAATGTCATCATCCTTGCACCATACCCATCACCACCTACACACACACCATACCTATCACCACCTACACTTACACACCATACCCATCAGCACCTATACACACCATACCAATCACCACCTACACAGACCATACCCTTCACTACCAACACACACAATACCCATCACCAACTACACACACCATACCCATCACCACCTACACACCATACCTACAACCACCTACTCACACAACACATATCACGATCTACACACACCATACGCATCAACACCAACACACATAATTCCAATCACTACCTACACACACTATACCAACACCATCTGCACACACCATACCCATCACCACCTATACACATCATACCCATCAGAACCTTCACACACCATACCCTTCACCACCAACACACACCATACCCATCACCACCTAAACACACCCTCTCGGGTCTTCACCACACCCTCACATACCCTCCTGTCAATGTACGCATCTTCACACCATACCCATCACCACCTACACACACCATACCCATTACTACCTTCACACATTATACCTATCACTACATACACACACCATACCCATCACCACCTACACACCCCATACCCATCACCACCTACACACACCATACCCATCATATCCATCACACCATATCGATCACCACAATATCCATCACCACCTACACACATAATATCCATCTCCACTTAAATGGAATGCACTAAGCAGTGATGTGGTAGAGTCTGACTCCATACACAGTTTCAAATGTTGATATGACAGAGCCAAGTAGGCTCAGGAATCTGCACATCACTTGATTGACAGTTGAGAGGCGGGACCAAAGAGACAAAGCTCAACCCCCGCAAGCACAGTTAGGTAAGTACAATTAGGTGAGTACACCATACCCATTACTACTTCCCCACACCATACATATCATCACCTACACAAACCATACCCATAACAACCTTCACACACCATACCCATCCCCACCTACGCTCACCATACCCATCACCACGAACATTCACATACCCATCACCACCTACACATGCACCATACCCATCACCACCAACACTCACCATACCCGTCACCACCTAATCACGTACCATACCCATTACCACCAACACACACCATACCCATCACCACCTACACATACCCTTCCAGGGTCTCCACTATACCCTCCCATACCCTCCTGTAAATTTATGAACCTTCACATCATACCCATCACCACCTACACACACACACGTTATCCATCACAACCTAGGCATACCATACCCATCACCATCTACACACACCATTCACATCACCTCCTACATGCACCATATCCATCACCAAATAAACACACCATACATATACACACCTACACACACAATACCCAAAACAATCTACACACACCATACATATCACCACCTACGCACACCATACCTATCACCAACATCACACACCTTTCTCATCACCACCTACATGCACCATATCCATGACCACCTAAACACACTGTACATATCACCACCTACACACACCATTCCCAAAACAATCTACACACGCCATACCCATACACACCTCTCCACCTACACACACACCATACCCATCACCACCTAGACACACCAAACCTATCACCACCTACACACACCATATCTATCACCACCAAGACACACCATACCTATCACCACCTACACACACAATACCCATCACCACCGACACACACCACCTACACCTACACACACCATACCCATCACCACCTACACACACCCTCCCGATTCTCCCCATACCCTCCCATTCCCTCCTTTCAAAGTAAACATCTTCACACCATACTCATCACCTCCTTCACTCACCATACCAATCACTACCTACACACACAATACCCATCACCACCGACACACAGCATGCTCATCACCACCTACACACACCATACCCATCACCACCTACACACACCATACCCATCACCACCTACACAAACCATACCCATCACCACCTACACACACCATACCCATCACCACCTACATACACCATACCCATCACTACCTACACACACAATACCCATCACCACCTACACACAGCATGCTCATCACCACCTACATACACCATACCCATCACCACCTACACAAACCATACCCATCACCACCTACACACACCATACCCATCACCACCTACACACACCATACCCATCACCACCTACACAAACCATACCCATCACCACCTACATACACCATACCCATCACCACCTACACAAACCATACCCATCACCACCTACACACACCATACCCATCACCACCTACATACACCATACCGATCATCACCTACACACACCCTCCCGGGTCACGACCATACCCTCCTTTACTCTCATGTCAATGTAATCATAATAGCACCATACAAATCAGTACCTACACACACGATACCCATCATCACCTACATACACTTTACCCATCACCGTCTACACACACCATACAAATCGAAACTTACACACACCATACCTATTATCACCTACATACGTCATACCCATCACCACCTACACTCACCATACGTATCATCACATACATACACCATACCCTATCACCAAATACACACATAATAAACATCACCACCTACACACACCATACTATCACCATCTACACACATAATACCCATCACCACCTACACACACCATACTCATCACCACCTACACATACCATACCCATCCCCACCTACACGCACCATACCCATCATCACCTACACACACACACGTTACCCATTACCACCTATACACACTCATCATACCCATCAGAACCTACACACACCATACCCATCACCACCTACACACACCATACTCATCACCACCTACACACACCCTCCCGGGTCACCATCATATCCTCCGGTCATTGAAAGCATCTTCACACTATACCTATCACCACCTACACACACCATACCCATCACCAGCTACACACAGTACCCATCACCACCAACACACACAATACATAGTGGCTGACCCTAACCTCCCTTTTCAAGGGTAACATAGGGGCTGACCCCAACCACCCCCTTCAAGGGTAACATAGTGGGAGACCCTAACCATCCCCATTAAGGGGTAGCATAGGGGCTGACCCCAAACAACCCCCCTTCAACGGTAACATAGTGGCTGACCCCAAACCCCCCCCCCCTTCAAGGGTAACATAGGGGCCGACCCCAACCCCCTCCCCCTCTTCAACGGTAGCATAGGGGCCGACCCCAACCAACCCTCCTTCAACGGTAATATAGTGACTGACACCAACCACCCCCTTCAAGGGTAACATAGGGGCCATAGGGACCGACCCCCCCCCTTTAAACGGTAGCATAGGGGCCGACCCCAACCAAACCCCCTTCAAGGGAAGCATAGGGGCCGAAGCCCCCCCCCCTTCAAGTGTAACATAGGGGCTGACCCCATCCACCCCCTTAGAGGGGTAACATAGGGGCCGACACCAACCACCCCCTTAGAGGGGTAACATAGAGGCCGACACCAACCACCCTTCTTCAAGGGTAGCATTGGGGCTGACCCAAACCACCCCTTTTCAAGGGTAGCATAGGGGCCGACCCCAACCTCCCCCTTCAAGGGTTACAAAAGGGCCGACCCCAACCTCCCCCTTCAAGGGTAACAAAGGGGCCGACCCCAACCACCCTGTTCAAGGGTAACAAATGGGCCAACCCCAACCTCCCCCTTCAAGGGTAACAAAGGGGCCGACCCCAACCACCCACCTTGAAGGGTAGCATAGGGGCCGACCCCAACCAGCCTGTTCAAGGGTAACAAAGGGGCCGACCCCAGCCACCCCCCTTTAAGGGTAACAAATTGGCCGACCCCAACCACCCCCTTCAAGGGTAACATAGTCCTTTTCGACCCGTTCCACTTTGCCTCTGTACATCTCTATGTCTCTGTACGTCTCTCTGTCTCTGTACGTCTCTCTGTCTCTGTATGTCTCTCTGTCTCTGTACATCTCTCTGTCTCTGTACGTCTCTCTGTTTCTGTGCATGTCTCGTTCTCTGTACATCTCTCTGTCTCTGTACATCACTGTCTCTGTACATCTCTCTGTCTCTGTATGTCTCTCTGTCTCTGTACATCTCTCTGTCTCTGTACGTCTCTCTGTTTCTGTACATGTCTCGTTCTCTGTACATCTCTCTGTCTCTGTACATCTCTCTGTCTCTGTATGTCTCTCTGTCTCTGTACATCTCTCTGTCTCTGTACGTCTCTCTGTTTCTGTACATGTCTCGTTCTCTGTACATCTCTCTGTCTCTGTACGTCTCTGTCTATGTACGTCTCTCTGTCTCTGTACATCTCTCTGTCTCTGTTCGTCTCTCTGTTTCTGTACATGTCTCGTTCTCTGTACATCTCTCTGTCTCTGTACGTCTCTCTGTCTCTGTGCGTCTCTCTGTCTCTGTACATCTCTCTGTCTCTGTACGTCTCTCTGTTTCTGTACGTCTCGTTCTCTATACATCTCTCTGTCTCTGTACATCTCTCTGTCTCTGTACGTCTCTCTGTTTCTGTACGTCTCGTTCTCTGTACATCTCTCTGTCTCTGTACGTCTCTCTGTCTCTGTACATCTCTCTGTCTCTGTACATCTCTCTGTCTCTGTACATCTCTATGTCTCTGTACGTCTCTCGTTCTCTGTACATCTCTCTGTCTCTGTACGTCTCTCTGTCTCTGTACATCTCTCTGTCTCGGTACATCTCTCTGTCTCTGTACATCTCTCTGTCTCTGTACATCTCTCTGTCTCTGTACGTCTCTGTCTCAATCAATTTCTCATTTTGCATTTATCATTCGGTGTGTCTATCATGGTCTGCCTTTCATACACACACATTCATACACACATTCATTCACACATTCATAAACATTCACACATATTCATACACACCTCACTCCCTCTTACTCCCTCAGAAGTAAGGCAAAATAAGCAGGAAGGAGAGTGAAGGTCAGAAGTGAAGTAGCACTGTTTACCTTGTGTACAGCTCACTGACATTCCTCTTGCACTTCTCGTGTTCCTCTTCCATCAAGCGTTTCTCTTCTGTTAATTTATTCTTTTCCTCTTGAATACTTCTGAGTTGCTGTGCCTGTCTGTCTTTATCACTCTGTAGAGCCGTGTTTCCTTCCCGTAACTTACTGGCCTCTTCTTCACTGACGGAGAGTTGCTCTTCAACAAGTCGTTTCTCCTCTTCAGTCTTCCTGATTGTTTCTTCCTTTTCTTCATTTAGAGCAGCGTTTGCTGTTTGAAGGACCCTGACCTGTTCTTCCAGGAGTGAGAGTTGCTCTTGAACAAGTCCTTTCTCTCTTGCTGTGTTATTATTCATCTCTTGCAGCTGTTGTGTCTCTCGCTCTAGCTCAGCGATCCTCGTCAACGCCGTCTTGACCCTCTCCTGGGCTTGGGTCTCCGCAAGCTCCAGCTGTTGGTTCCTCGACTTGACCAGCCTCGAGTCCTCCTCCACTTGTCGGATCTCTTGCTTGACCAGCCTCGAGTCCTCCTCCACTTGTCGGATTTCCTGCTTGACCAGCCTCGAGTCCTCCTCCACTTGACGGATCTGGGACTTTAATTGAATGTTTTCTTCCTGAGCAAGGCGCACTTCGTTCTTAGTCTTCATGTTATCCTCCTTGGCCAGCCTCGAGTCCTCCTCCACTTGACGGATCTGGGACTTTAATTGAATGTTTTCTTCCTGAGCAAGGCGCACTTCGTTCTTAGTCTTCATGTTATCCTCCTTGACCAGCCTCGAGTCCTCCTCCACTTTACGGATCTCCTCCTTGACCAGCCTCGAGTCCTCCTCCACTTTACGGATCTCCTCCTTGACCAGCCTCGAGTCCTCCTCCACTTTACGGATCTCCTCCTTGACCAGCCTCGAGTCCTCCTCCACTTGACGGATCTGGGACTTTAATAGAACAATCTCCTCCTGAGCAAGCTGCCCTTCGTTCTTAGTCTTCCTGTTGTCCTCCTCGAGCAAATGATTCGCTGTATTTAGGCGAGTGTTTTCCTCCTCCAGCTTGAGGTTGTCAGCTTGGTGAGCCTTGTTGACACACTCCAGCTGGTCCAGAGTGTCCAGGAGGCGGCGGGTGGCGTTCTCCCTCTCCTTCACACCTGCCAACACATCAAATATTAAATATATACTACTATATATATTACCACCACCCACAACTACTACTACTAGTATATATCAGATATATACTGCTGACCCTGAAATGCACTCCAGTCCCTGAAATACAGTCAAGGACCTGAAGTACACTCCAGGAGCAGAAGTACATGCCAGGCCCTGACGTACACTTAAGATCCAGAAGTATAATCAAAACCTGAAGTACACTTCAGATCATGAAGTAGACTTCAGGCTCTGAAATACACTCCAGGACCAAAAGTACTCTCCTGTCTTTAAACTACACTCAAGACCCCTGAAATACATTAAAGTCCCTGAAGGACACTCCAGTATCTGAAGTGTACTACAGACCTTCAACTACATTTTAGACCCTGAAGTACACTGCAGACCCTGAAGCACATTTCAAACACTGAAGTTCAATTCAGGATTTGATGTACACTCCAAAACTGAATTCCACTCCAGATCTTGAAGAACACTCATGATCCTGAAAAAAACCTCCAGACCCTAAAGTTCACTACAGACCCTGAAGTTAACTCAAGGACCTGAGGTACACTCTAGACATTGAAATACTCTCCAAGACATGAATTGCACTCATGACCACGAAGAACACTCCAGACACTGAAGTACACTCAAAGACGTGAAGTGTACCATGACCACATCAGACCCTAAAGTACACTCCAGACCTTGAAGTACATTCAAGAATGAAAAATACACTTCAGACCCTGATTTATGAAGAACCTGAGGTGCACTTCTGACTCTTATACACACTGCAGGGCCTGAGGTATACTTTAGACCTTGAAGTACTAATCAGGACTTGAAGCACACTTCATGCCCTGAAGCAGCGTGCTGTCCGCTCGGCCACTATAGGACATAAAGTAAACTATAGGCCATGAAGAAGGCTATAGGCACTGAAGTACACTCCAGAAAGTGAAGTACACTCCAGGCCCTGAAGTACAGTCCAGGTCCTACAGAACACCCCAATCCCGAAAGACATTACAGACCATGAAGTACTTTCCAGACCCTGAAAAACACTCCAGACCCTGAAATACACATAATGATGAGAAGTACACATCAGACCCTGAAGTACATTTCAGGCCCTGATATATATTCAAGACTCTAAAGTAAACGACAAGCCCTGAAGTACACTCCAGGACGAAATGTACACTCCAGGCATTGCAATACACTCCAGATCCTGAGGTAAACTACCCAGCAAATACTTTATGTTGCCAGAATGTGCCTGGGAATTTTTTGAGAGCTGTGGCAAAGTTAGTTTTTAAGTAATCAATACGTTTTTGTGTCCAGTCATAAATTGTTTGTCATAATTTACTACACAACGTTGGGTAACAAAAAATTGAGGCCTCGTGGCAACCTTAATTACTGCATAAAAGTAGTTTCTATTATTTATGATATATAAATATAGAAACTATAAATATACAAAATATTAGTTGAAATAAAACAGGAGCATAATAAAGGCGAGTTCACCTTTGTATTTATTTCTTAGATGGCAGTGTTGGTAGATGGTTGTGGTTGGTGGCAGTGTTGGTAGATGGTAGTGTTTGGTGGCAGTGTTGGTAGATGGTTGTGGTTGGTGGTAGTGTTGGTAGATGATACCTGGTTGATACATGGTTGATGGGGTTCTGGGAGTTCTTCTACTCCCCAAGCCCGGCCCGTGGCCAGGCTTGACTTGTGAGAGTTTGGTCCACTAGGCTGTTGCTTGGAGCCGCCCGCAGGCCCACATACCCACCACAGCCCGGTTGGTCCGGCACTCCTTGTAGGAATAAATCTAGTTTCCTCCTGAAGATGTCCACGGTTGTTCCGGCAATATTTCTTATGCTTGCTGGAAGGACGTTGAACAACCGCGGACCTCTGATGTTTATACAGTGTTCTCTGATTGTGCATATGGCACCTCTGCTCTTCACTGGTTCTATTTTGCATTTTCTTCCATATCGTTCACTCCAGTACGTGGTTATTTTACTGTGTAGATTTGGTACTTGGCCCTCCAGTATCTTCCAGTTGTATATTATTTGATATCTCTCTCGTCTTCTTTCTAGTGAGTACATTTGGAGGGCTTTGAGACGATCCCAATAATTTAGGTGCTTTATTGCGTCTATGCGTGCCGTATATGTTCTCTGTATTCCCTCTATTTCAGCAATCTCTCCTGCTCTGAAGGGGGAAGTGAGTACTGAGCAGTACTCAAGACGGGAAAACACAAGTGACTTGAAGAGTACAACCATTGTGATTGGATCCCTGGATTTGAAAGTTCTCGTAATCCATCCTTTCATTTTTCTGGCTGTCGCAATATTTGCTTGGTTATGCTCCTTAAACGTTAGGTCGTCAGACATTATTATTCCCAAATCCTTTACATGCTGTTTTCCTACTATGGGTACATTTGATTGTGTTTTGTTTAAGGTCCTCATATTTACCGTACCTGAGTACTTGGAATTTACCACTGTTAAACATCATGTTATTTTCTGATGCCCAGTCGAAAACTTTATTAATATCAGCTTGAAGTTTTTCAATGTCTTCAGCCGAGATAATTTTCATACTGATTTTTGTGTCATCTGCATAGGATGATACGAAGCTGTGACTTGTATTTTTGTCTATATCTGATATGAGAATAAGGAAAAGCAGCGGTGCAAGGACTGTACCCTGAGGTACAGAGCTTTTAACTGTACTTGGACTAGATTTTATATGGGTGACCGTTACTCGCTGAGTCCTGTTTGACAGAAAACTGAGTATCCAGCGTCCTACTTTACCGCTTATTCCCATTGACTTCATTTTGTGTGCTATCACGCCATGGTCACATTTATCGAAAGCCTTTGCGAAGTCCGTGTATATCACATCAGCATTCTGTTTTTCTTCTAATGCCTCAGTGACTTTGTCGTAGTGCTCAAGTAGCTGTGAGAGGCACGATCTTTCCGCTCGAAATCCATGTTGGTCTGGGTTGTGAAGGTCATTGGTCTCCATGAAATTGGTGACCTGACTCCTAATCACTCTCTCAAATACTTTTATGATGTGCGATGTTAGTGCAACTGGTCTATAATTCTTTGCCAATGCTTTGCTCCCTCCCTTGTGTAGAGGGGCTATGTCTGATACTTTAAATGCATCTGGTATCTCCCCCGTGTCGAAGCTCTTCCTTTACACTATACTGAGTGCCTGTGCTACCGGCACTTTGCATTTCTTTACAAATATTGAATTCCATGAGTCTGGACCTGGGGCCGAGTGCATGGGCATGTTTTCAATTTCTCTTTCAAAATTTAGTGCGCTCGTGTTGATATCAGTTATATTTACAGGGGTTTGAATATCCCGCATAAAGAAATTGTCTGGATCTTCCACTTTCATGTTGTTTATTGGAGTGCTAAACGTGTCCTCATACTGCTTTTTTAGGATTTCACTAATTTCTTTGTCATCCTCCGTGTATGAACCTTCACTTGTACGAATAGGTCCAATACTGGCAGTGGTTTTTGCTTTTGATTTCGCATATGTGAAGAAATATTTAGGATTTTTTATTATTTCCTGAATTGCTTTCTGTTCTAACTGCCTTTCTTCAGTTTCATATGAGTGTTTCAATTTCCGCTCGATTTCTTCAATCTCCCTATTTAAATTATTCCTTCTTTGACGGGAAATTCGTGTCTGCATAAGCAGTTCCGTTATTTTTTCCTGCGTTTATAGTGTCGTCTGCGTTCTCTTTCTACGATGGATCTCTTTCTGGCTTTCCTCAAAGGAACATGTTTCAGACAGACTTGATACGCTTCCGAAGTCAGTTTTTCTATTCCTTCTGTAGGACTTATATTACTTAGAACAGTTTCCCATGGAATGTTTGTAAGTTCCCTGTTTATTATCTCCCAGTCTATCCTTTTACTATTAAAATTGAATTTACTGAATAGCCCCTCTCGCTTTATCAACGTTTTAGGTCTATTCTGATTATTAATGGTCGTTTGCACTTCAATGAGCTTGTGATCTGAGTATGTGGTATCTGATACCGTAATGTCTCTGATAATGTCTTCATTGTTCGTAAAGACCAGATCTAGAATATTTTCATTTCTCGTTGGCTCCGATATCTGCTGATTGAGTGAAAATTTGTCACAGAATCTAAGTAGTTCTCTAATCTGTGGTTGGTTAGGTCCTGATAGATTTCCTGGTATAATATTATTGTTTGCTATTTTCCACCTGAGACTAGGCAAGTTGAAGTCACCTAGGAAGATAATATCAGGTATCGGGTTCTCCAAATTATCAAGGCTATTCTCTATTTTGTTTATCTGTTCTGTGAATTCCTCAGCCGTTGCATCTGGCGGTTTGTAAATTAGAATAATCACTAAATTTATTTTCTCTATTTTTAATCCCAGTACCTCTACCACCTCATTTGTAACGTTTAGGAGCTCAGAGCATACAAGGTCTTCCCTAATATACGGACCCACTCCTCCATGTGACCTAATTTTCCTATCACACCTGTATAGGTTATATCCTGGAATCCAGATCTCACTGTCCAACAATTCACAACCATCTACCAACACTGCCTCAACCACAACCATCTTTCACACTTTCACGTCTTTCACACTTTCACGTGAAAGGCACGGAACGCTACATAAAGAGTGGCGGAGTGGCATGGGTTTCTGTGAAAGCTCCAAATACTGCATTTGACTCCGTGAGGAGGCCATTTATGAACTGTACTTTGTTGTTTGTTCGTGTTTTCAGTCCTTGTATGTTGGCAAAGATGAATGAAGTTACTCTATTTGTGATAGTTTGAATGGGAGACTTTTTCGGCAAGCCCATTATGCGTGGACATAATGAGTTTGTTCTGACCAGTACTGATTGTTGTAGGGCAGTTGCCTGTCGTAGTTGTAGTTCCCTTTCGGTGTGTAATTGTATCTGTAATTCTGGAATGCAAGTGGATCTGGCATCCAGTTCCATACACTCTCCATGCTTCTCCTTTTGAATTCTCTTTCGGTCTGGTATAAAAAATTCATAGAGTTTCCTCCAAATTCATTAT